TGCTGAACTGACTAATACAGCTGTACTGAGAGGGACAAGGAAGGAAGCAGAGATCACTCAAGGGCTATGACCATCCAGGTGAGGTGGTGGCCCGGACCACAGCAGGAGCGGCAGAGGCTGCTTACTGGGGATATGGAGTGTAAGAGCAAGAAAGGAGTCGAGGATGACTCCGAAGTTCTGAGCCTGAGGAAGCTGAAGGCGTTGCCATGTCTCTGCTCCCTTTTACAGCTGAACTCCCTGAAAGAACTGTCCATCCTCCATGGGGGCGGGGCATGTTTACAGGAGTTGATCAGAGTTTGTTGTTGGACACATCAGGTTTGGATGCCCATGAGATACCCAAGTGGAAATGCCAAGTAGATAGGAGACTGGGATTTGGAGTTGAAGGCAGAGATCTTGGCTGAACCTCAGAGAGATGGCATCTCAGGCCTTGAGAGTGGACGGGGCCACCAAGGAGAGATGGACCTGAAGCGGGGCCTTCCACAGGGGCGTCTGGGAGTAAAGAAGGCAGCCAAGGAGACAGAGGAGGCGCAGCCTATGAGGTAGGAGGAAAACCTGGAAACCAGGGACAGCAACATGAAAGGAGATCCTAAGACGAATGCAACTATGTAAAATGTTGCTGAGCATGGACTGGTATTTAGCCACAGGAAGCTCAGTGGTAACTTAGACAAAGAATATTTTTTAGTGGGTAAAGCTGAAAAGCCTTACTGGAATATTTAAAAGGCAATGGAAGGATATTAACGGAGACAGAAAGAAAAGAGAATTCTTTCAAGGAGTTTAGCTCTGAAGGGGAGGAAAGCTGCAGGGCAAGAGCTGGAGGGAAACTGTGGTCCCTGCTCTGCTCAGGACCCTTTACTGGGTCCCTCCTGCACCCACATCAAGTCCACACTAACTTGCTATTTGGGGCTCACTCCACTAGTGCCCACAGCGCACTTTCCAATCAGACGACCCACGTGAACTTCCATCCTTCCAGCAAGGATGACACTCATGTCTTCACCATGCATTGCTCACTTAGTCTCACTTAACCCGGCACTCATTTAACCCGGTCCCAGGAACTCTATCAGTGGCTCAACAAGCACAAGATGAGGCACCCGACCGTCAAAGAACCACCTCCCAGTCCAATGGGACAGCTGGAGAGTCATGAGACAGCCTGAGCCCTGGGGTCCTGCTGTGTCAAGCATCCCACAGCGAATGGGAGCCCGGGAATACTGCCGGGGACGTGCAGCGTGCTCTGCCGGGGGAGCGCGTCCCAGCTCATCACAGGAGTTGATGCTCAAGCAGAGAGGTACGGAGAAACAAAAGCAGACAATGGAATAAGTTTCCATGCAGCTGTAAAGCAGGGTCTGACGAGTGCAGGGAACAGGGGAGGGCACTGAAAGGGTGACTTGGAGAACAAGTTGGAAGCTTTAATAATAATTCTAGCGAATGGTTACTGAGTATTTATGTACTAGGCGTTCCAACCGCATGGCTAGGGTCATCACACCCAACATCCCTGTCAGGTGTACACCATTCTGATCCCCACTTGGCAGATGAGGAACAGAAGGCTCAGAGAGGCAACGTAACATGCTCAGGGCCACACAGCTAGATATGGTGAAACTGAGATTTGAATCTGGGCAGTCTGACTTTGGAGTGGGGACAGAAGCAAACGATTAGAAAGGTCCCTTTCTAGCAGGCTGAATGGCAAGATCGGTATTTATACCTCAGGTGCCCAACTCAAGAGGCAGCGGTGGGGGGAGGGAGAGCAGAGGGAGAAGGAGGTGGAGAAGGGGCGGGAGCAAGGGCACTGCAGCAGCGGAGACGGGGAAGGAGAAGGGGATCCAGCGCACAGCACAGGGGAGAGAACACGGCAGCCACCGAACAGGGGGTAAGTCTGGAAAGAACAAAGAGGCCCAGCTTGTACCAAGGGCAGAAGCTGCAGATGTTAACCAGATCTGCAAGGTTAGAAGAAATGCGGGGAGAGGGGCAGAGAGAGGGAAAACCACCACACCGAATTCCACATACATCTCCCTCTCCTGTCTCTGCCCAGAGCTGTTCTGACTGAAAGAAAGTTTAAAACAACTGGAAAAGGAACTATTAATTTTGTTGGGTGTAATGATGAAATTGTGGTTATATTACAATGAGAAGCCCTTAGGTGTAAGCTGCCTCCTGAGGTATCTGTGTGTGAAATGACAGGCCTGGGACAAAAAGGGAGTGAGGGCTCTGGACGGAACAAGACCAGAAGGCCGAGGCCTTCACAGCGGACAAGCCCCAGGAGTGAGCAGGTATGAACAAACACTGAGACGGAGCGCTGGCGCAAGGATGGAGGGGCAGTGAAGGAGGACGCTGGGTCTGAAGAACAGTCCCTGTGAAAATGGCCACCCTTACAACAGGCCTTGCTTCCTGGGGAAACCAGCTGGGGCCCTGATCCCGGGATGGCGCATTACAAGGCACAAGATGTCAAAGCTGAGCGAAGGAAACCCACCCATGGTTCAGCA